GTTTATCAGGACTGATTCACAAAGCAAACTCCTCCAGTGGGCAAACAAATGTCAAACTGTGTCCCTCAGAGAACAGATCAGTACACAATGGGCAGCGTCTGATCTGATGTGAGCTGCCTGGCCTTTAAAGTCCTTTTTCTCTTGATAACGTTTGAGGTGTTATGACACCTTGCCAGACAGATCTCTTCACCTGGATGCAAGGTGACATGATCAAATCTTGAAGAAACAGCGGACCCAACTCAAAGACAAAATCGTAAAGGACAATTTCAGTGAGCAGCTAGAGCAAAAAGTGAGTAATATTACTGTAAAGCAGCACATTCTTAATGTTAAGCAGACAGGAGGCAAAGAAGTGATCACATGGCATGCATGAAAAATACATTCACGAACGTGCTGTCACATTTGCCTGACCACACACAACAGACATGCACACAGTCAGGCAGCAAAGGGACACAAAGCCTCAAGTCAGACACACACAATGCCATCCGCCAGGAAGACATCAGTTGAAAGGACAACTTGTGCGCTTCGCTGCCTCTGTGCTCAGATGTCGACGGGCTAGCTGTACTTTGGAGAAAGCATTCACCTCAACACAATGGACTATTAACGGTGGGAAAGGCAACAGCCGAGTTTGTTTTCGTTACGAAAGCAGCCAGGAGTAGGATCCTGGCTGAACTAGCTCTAAGGCTAAATAACCCTTTGATAGCCACGTAAGGCAATCAGGCCAATCTTCAAGCGAGACTTGGATGGACTGACTCTTCCTGGTTTAATTACACCAACATAGAAACCGTAGTGTATGACAGCTGGATCTGCAGAGCTTTGTGACACAGCCTGACCTCGGGGGGATCCATATTCCTAACCTGAACTCAGTTGACAGCTGTCCTTGAGGGACCAGCTCTGCGTCACAACAGCTTAACGCTGCAAGTCAGAAAAAGTTTTTTTTTTTTTTTACTTTTAGGCATTTAAACTTCTTTGTCTGAATCTTGCCAGAGCGCAGATAGAGGAGGAAGGTCTGCTGGGGTCGCCTTCATTCTGCTGTGGACCATTTAATTAGGGAACTGGGTCAGACAGGGTGAGCAACTGCTGGAGTAAATACTCTGCTCTCTCTTTTAGTGTGTATTCAAACATCCCAGACTTTTTCTGTTTGGCTAAATGATGTTCTGGAAACAATCACCACATAATGTTTAAATATCTAGATAAAAATGCTGAAACACTGTATGAGGACCATGGGCTGCGTGACCCAGGAGGTAATAAAACTGAGTATTTTAGTAAAAGTAGCCAAGCGGTAGCAAGCACCAGGTCAAACATACAAAAGCCAAAAGAGGGAATGCAATGGAGAGGACCCAGTTTGGTGTGTTTCATTAGCTGACATAAAAACACATCAGCGATTTGGCTTTTAACAACCTCCTACGTTGCCAGCAATAGAAGCTAACTGGGGTAAAGGATGTATGAAAAAGAACCTCATCTGATTTCACAAACACAGTTATTTGATGTGTAACTACTGTTATAATCACAAATATATTCTTCTTTGGCTTTAAGTGAAGAAGTTATTGTGAATTCAAACAGCTTTAATGTAATTAGACCTTATGAGACTTTAAACAAACCCATTTGCATTGTGACCTCTCTTTGTAGTCATTATGTGTCTGAACACCCCCGCCTGAAGAAACCTGACTCCCCCACAAGAAGCACCTGAGCTACAGGTGTCTGGCTGTAGTATGGGCTGGCAGGCAGGCATGCCATGAGGGCACAGACAGGATGATAACGATAGCAGCCACCTCTCTAGATGTATCTTATTACAATGATTAAAGTGAGTACCCTGTCTCAGTGAGGCAGCACACCAAACGAATGAACACTCTTTGCAAAGTATAGACCATCACACAAGTGCATATTTGAAAAAGTACTAGGAACCCAAATGCAAAGAGTTGTTACTTGCCAAATACGTGTTAAAAATGGCAACATGCCCTGCTGGTGTGAATGAGAAACAGACAGATGGATGATATTCAGCTTTCTGACAGATCATGACAGCAGGCTAACGGACTAGCTTAGTGTGCTAGCTAATGTCTGTCTGTTTTGTAACCCAAATTTCTTCAATTTATGAAGCGAAGTTAAAAAAAAAAAAAAACGTTTTGTAGCGTCTAAAGCACAGACACAGCAAAACGTGTCTGTGCTGACTTTCCACGACCCACAGTCACCTAAAAGTTTTTTTTTTAAATGAAGCCTCGGTCAGCAGCAAGTCAACAGCTGACTGTCCGTTTGACAGCTAGCTTAGCCTGCTGCTAGCCAGCTGAGGCAGCCAGCTGGATGATGCGCAGACACAAATGTGGCTGACGATTTATTTTGAGATAGCACACACACTCACACAAACACACACTATTTCTGCAACAACAAAAAATGTACCTGTAATATGACAGCAGACCATTGCTGAGGACAAACCATCGCCGCTGGTACCCTTTCAAATAGTTGGTCCATTTAAAGAGCCAGCCTTTGTAGGTGTCCGACCCCGGGGCCGGGGCCGGGGCCGGGGCCGAGGCTGAGGCGGATGCCGAGCCCTTCCCTTGCTCGCTCATCCTGGGCTCCGCCGCTCGCCGAACGGGGCGCAGGGTGGACCGGGAGCAGCGGGGCGGCGGGGGCCCTCCGCGGTGCGGCTGTCCGGGCCGAGGCGTCAAACGGCTCCGGCGCGGGACGGGGGTCTGACGTCCACTGCCGGAGAAGCCACGGCGGAGCCCTTCCACATGACGCCGGAGGAAGGACGAGAAGTGATGCCAAGACACTTTGCCGATGCGGACTGCAGAGGAGTCAAGGCACAGAGCTGAGCATCATAGAAAAGACGCTCTCACCCCGGTCTCCATGAGAGCCGGTGACGCTCTCACCCTAACGGCCGCTGTTATGGCGACGTACGTTCCGGGAAGAAAGCGGCCGTTTTTTCTACGAGGGAGAGGCGGTAGACCCCGGCCGTGAATGTGGTCAGGTCTGGACGGGAATGACCGCTCTAGCGGCTCGAGTCTATGCTAAAGACCAGCCCCCCCACGTGACGTTGTTATTTAAACATCCCTAAACATTTGACATGCGGTTTGGCTTCTGAATTCAGACCGGCTCTTCAGTCAGAGAGGCGAGCGGACGGTTGTTGGTCAGCAGCCTTTCAGATAAATTACAGCCGTAAAAGTACACTCGTCTTTATAAAGCTTTACGGCAGCTCCTGCTGCGGCCCTAAACGCTCCCCTGCCGAGTTAAGCATTAAGTTAATTATTAATTATTATCATTTGAATCCAACACGTGCTCTTCCTTTTCCCCACCGGTCAGCATCCTGATAATCCATGGACACTTTTAACTCGTGAAGAAATTTAACATGCATCTTTTTTTAATGTATTTTCTATCAAACAAATGATGTAAAGAACCACAATATTGCTGGTAAGGTTTCCCTTGGTGTCCCAGTAAAGCTTGCCAGTGGAGCAGTGGGATGAAGCTGTAGGACTGCAGATATCACTGAGCTGACTCAAGCCATTCGTTGCCAACCAACAATAAGAAATATGGGTTCACAGAATAAAACAGCTGAAAGTCAGTCACACTAAAGAAAAGTTGCTGAGCAGAGTTTATTGGCTTTGGCAAGAATGGCCTCCTGTGCACTTCATTTCCCATTGTTGACTTTAATCATAATTTATGTAAAAGTGTCCATCATGTATGCATACATTTTGCAGCTTTTACAACATTGTTATTTGCATGATCAGCTTCAAGAGCTGCAGATTGTGCAGGCCCAGCACAGATCTAGCCTTCTGTTGTAGTTTGTCCAATTTCTTTGACTCACAAATGTCTGCTCCAGTTGATGCTGTAAAGCAGATTACCCACTCCACCACAGACTTGTGGAAGATTTTTAACATCTTAATGCTTATGGTGAAAAACAAAGAAAAGTTTTCTTAAAAAGCAGCGTCTGCTTTGTCTATTCTCTTTCGGCATTAGTGTAACTTTGATACCTCAGTCTATTGTCCAGGTCAGGTATCTTTAAATCTCCACCAACCAAACCTGGAAATAACAAACTTAAGATTTGGATCAGTACTCCTAAAATTCCCATACAAGCTTTCTGCCTTACAAAATGTGATATATTTCTTAGGCATTCAACTTTTCAAGAGGGTTTGCAAGCATACAACTGTATTTTCTAAAGATTCTCAACTAGAACCATATCAAAGGCACTGGGGAAAAAAGGTATTTCTCCAGTGCAATATCTGCTTTGTCCAGATGACTGTGGGCCTGATGATGGCATTTTAAAAACTAACCCTGGGACAGGAAACAAACTGTAGTGTGTCCTGAGAGGTTTTCATTTGATTACTTAAGAGTGACCATAAGTATCTCTCCAGGCTTTTAATAATGTGAAATAACAGGGTGTCTGGTCTGTGGTCATTGAGGGCAAATACATGAGAGTTTCAGGCAAGTGATTTTTTTTACATCACAGGATAGCTCTGTTGCTCAAACTGGCTCCAGGCCACAAACAGAGACTCCTGACCCCGGGGTCACTGCTTAATCCTTCCTAAATTAAAGGTCCTTTGGTTTAAACTTGTAAATGTTAAGATATTTCTTTATGAGTATTACTATTATTATTATTTTTATTTCAATGTTTTGTACTTGATTGCAGACTAAAGTGTGCTCAGCTGGAGCTATAGATTAAATCACACAGTTTATGACCCACAGGAAGTATCAACAGTGCAGAGATATTGATTTAAACACATATTCTGTTATTAGACACTGAATGAGAATACTCATTCAGTGAATACTCATACTAGCTAATCAGATAACCTCCTGCTTATGAATAATCCAGTCACAAACACACATTTAAAACACAAATGGAGAGACTCAGAGATCTTCAGTGCATGGAATCAGATCAGGAGACGGATCAGTGATCCAGCTCCTGATAACATTGCTTTACCACAAGATGGCAATACGATCAAAATGTTATCAATGCAGCATCGTCGTTGCACAACTGAGCAGTAATAAAGCAATTAGCTGTTCTCAAATGCTTTTATTAATTCATTATGTGTCGAAAAAAATTCACATTACTAACACCATAAAAATAAACACATGTAATGTTTCTGTTAAAAAACTGTAGCCCTTTTATTTGGAGATGCACACATACACAAACTGATGAAAACTCATGCTACACACACTTTCCTCCGAGTGTCTCTGCTACATATTTCTCTTCTTTTCATCTTAATCTTACTGGAACAACCGTCCGGCCTGACTGAAGGGACAACACCACATCTTAGACTGAGTCATGAGTTTGCTCACAAGCCACTGAAAAACAACAAAAAAGAAAGACAATCACGTTCATCCACTCAGTTGCTCATTACAGCGTCAGAGAACCACAAATAACAAAATCTAGACACACTGTCACATCATTACTTCAGTGCAATTAACCCTGACTCGCTGGCTCTACCAACAAAAGCATGCAAGGACATTATTCTATGAATCATTCTTATATACAGTCGGCCTTCTTACCTCCTGTCCTATCTTCACAAAGCACCTACGTTGGCCTTGTCAAAAGAAAAAGCAGCCTTTATGTAGAAGAGATTGTGGAGATTTTGATGTCCAACCTTCATCAGTGATCCATCCGTGTCTTTGATGGGGCATTTAGTGGAAGTCATGGAGCTCTGCTTTCTTATTCTTGCAAGATATGTGAGTGCAGATGGATTACAGTGTCTGTGTGAGGCATTTTAATATGACATAGTGCTTTTATAAAGTCAGTCAGGACACCGCTGCAGGATTTTATTGCTCCTTTCTGATCCAAAGCTTTAACATCTGTCTGATATCTTGCTGCGTTTGTCCTCTGCCTGCCTGAATGTCAGCTATCAAATCTGGCTCTCTGTCTGCCTTGTTCACTCGCTCTCTCTTTCACACTTGCACACGCACACGCTGTAACCTCCCTATTTGTGGGGATCCATCGCTGACACTGAAATCCCGACTCACAGTTGATAACCTTACCCTAATACTAATGCTGCCCCGCTGTTCGGACCTCCACAGCAGCTGTTGACTGAGAGTGCAGAGTCCAGCGTTCTAGTCTGGCCTCACAAATCTAACAAACAAGCTCACATACGCATTCACACACACACACACACACACAAACAACAACGTTAGGAGAAGAGGTTGAGGCTCTGCAGCCTCCTGCAGGTCCCCAGTTCCCTGGATTTAATGTATTCATCAGAAGCAGACATTGAGTGAGAGGAGGGAACAGATTAAAGCTCTACAGTACATCACGAGGAGGGACTGTAGTATTTGATGCCCAAAAAACAACCTTTAAACACCCTTGGTCTAGCAAGCAAGAATTTACTATGGCTAAGTTTGTAGGAGGGAAAGGAAAAGGACCAACAAATGAAGGCTACTTCTTAAATGAAATACTATCAAGGAATGTGTATTTATGTACATTTTGAGATAAACTCTCCAGAGGGAAACAGGGGAGCGTCGTATCCTAAAATAAATCCAAATGTGACAGCTGACCTTACTGAATGTGATTAATTCAAAAGGAAGACTGGATGATATTGCTGTCCGTCCATTTTGAGTCTCACAAGCGTCACAGCGTCCATCCTCTCAGGCCGGTTACAGACCTGCTGCTGTGTCAGATTGGGAAGCACAGCCTGAAACGTTTAGCCGTCAAGCTGATGTAAGAAAAAGGAACTGTGCTTTGCTAAGTGTATTGGCTCTCACCAATTTGTGTCTCGATACAGTAGGCTGAATTTCACTAGGAAGTAACTGGATGACCGTGTGTGAAATTGTTAGTGTCTTATACAGCGCAGAATTCTAATAAACCTCATTTTGAAAAATCAGCTCAGTTAAGCAGGAGGCCACGGGGTATTTTTCCAGCCATTTAGATAAAAAGTCTTTCCATCCTTCTCCACGCCAGAGCTGAGATGGGTGGAGGGAGCGTTCAGGGTCACATGATGGTGCAGCGATTCCTCTGTAGGGCCCCCTGCAGACGGATGGAGGTGTGGTTCTGACGCATCCCCCGGGCCACAGCAATGCCCAGCAGCTCCTTGAAGAGCAGGACCACGTGCCAGTTAAACTTTGCCGAGCACTCCACGTAACCGCACTTCCAGGTCTTCTTGACCAGAACCGACACCGCCCTGCGAGGCATGAAGCGCTGACGCTGCAAATCCCTCTTGTTACCCACCACCAGGATGGGCACCTCACTACTGCTGCCCTCCCTGCAGGAGAACGTGAGGGGAAAAAGCTTCATTTAAAAAAAAAAAAGCATCATCTTGGTTTTTGTGAAAGTGTCGTCTATCGTGTGTTTTTTTTTCCTTTCTGAGGTGCGGGGGTAGGCTGAAGACTCAAGGGGCCTCCCACCGCACTCTGCAGTAACTGGTTTACAGCATTATTAAGTAGAAAATGCAGAGAAAGAAAGACGTAGTTAGAAACTTGCCTTGATACTTACTGTATATTAGTAAAGACTGGTCCCAATGCACGACTGACACACATCTACATCGGGAGAAACTAATCTCCAACCATTTCATTTGCATCTGATTATGGGTGGCTAATGAATGTGACTTAACGAGGTGGAAATTATTAGAATTAATGTCATCAATATCAAAGTAGTCAATTTTCAGTGTATAGTATGATGTTGAATATAACAATTGCTGAAAAATCCTCAAAGGAAGGATAAAAAAAATCATTAAGTAAATTAAGATGATTCTAAACTGAGGATTAGTAAATTATAAACTCGTGGCAACACTACCGTTAAGGTATACAAGGCATTTACTTTCTGATCTTAGTATAAACAAAGACCAAGCTGAGGGATAAGAATTATCATTATAATCTTTTCCTCAGGTGATGAGAAGAGATTTCCTGAAGTTACAGTGTATTTCAGGATTTGCATAGTTATGCATATCTGCACACCTGCTTTGATAGATGGATAGAGAACTTAAAGAAGGAAAAAAGATCACAGAAGAAGACTGACGCGCTGCACAATTCTTAAGCTCTGAGGTAACGTTGTAACACCTCAGCAGGGATCCCTCTCTATCTCTTCACAACTCTTCCTCACATCTTGCAACATCTTCTCCTGTGGCTGCTTTGGACGGGTTTTCAAGGGGATATGAGCAAAATGGGTTTTAGGTTGTGTGCCTGCATCGTATTTGAGAATTAAGGGAAACGCCATTTTGTTGGGCTACAACACTGCCATACGTCTTACTGAGCTAAAGGTAGCCTTCCTGCTGGAGGCATTTAAAGAAAATGGGGCAGAAAAATGAGGTTACTCCAGTTTGTAACTGATTCTTGGAGAATCAGAGCATTTCAATTTCTTCATGGTGGTTCTGCTGCAGCTGAAAGCTACAGAGGCACAATCCCCTCATATATAATTTTTGTGGCATCTACTACTTCCCAACTCCTTTCTGGTCTCCTGTATTTTTCATCTACTCTTTGTGGAGCGATTATATATTTGGCCTGTTTTGAATTCATCTTGCATTCACCCTTCCTGCTGGTGATAATGGGTTTCTGTCTTGGAGCATACAAATGGAGCAACAGTAAGTTGGCAAGAAAATGTGCAGTGGCAGTTTGGATACGTAGAACACAGTACGTTTAAATATGTAAATATATTCACCAATGTCAATTGTAAGAATGGAGCAGGTTTCACGGTAGCCTAGTTTTTTTTTTTTCTCTAGTGTTCAGCCTTTGATGCTCACTTGTTCAAAACCATTTGGGAGATCTTTTACAGAATGTTATCTCCTTGTGGTAAACACAAGCTTTGTGCCTTCTGATGCTTCTGATCTGTCCATCAAAAGCAGTGCAATATAGTGCAGAGATATCCCTAATATCATATTTAAAACACTGCTGACATCTTGGACAGCATTCCTGAAGCAGTTCTTTATCAAATGTCAAACTAGAGCTGTCAGAATTTCACAGAGAAGTGTGGTAGATTAACAGACACCACGGCAAAAGTGGAGTCTTTAACACAGTTGTTGAAATAAGATGCTCTGTGGCATGCTCTGAATAAGTAGTTCCAGCTATTTGAATTCTATCATGGTGTGAGTTGAAAGTTGTACGTCAGAGGCTGAATGCACAGTAACAGTTAAGCATGACCATACCTGTTCTCTACTATCTGCTGTCTGATCATTTTGACATATTCAAAGCTCTCCACGCAGCAGATGTCGTACACCAGGATGTAGGCGTTGGCGTTGCGGACTCCTCGGCAGCGCAAATCCAGCCACTCCTGCAGGGCACACACAGAGAATGCGTCAACACAAGACAAATATGACCAAGAAGCCTTTAAGACCATTCTTCAGGGACGAGTGATCCATCAATTTCTGTTTCAGTGACATATCTCCCATGCTTGGTGTATTTGCACACTTTGGGCTGGCATATCCCTGTCAGCCCCAAGTTGAGCCCCAAGTTAAATCACAAATGAGATTTTAATAAGAATTATTAACTAGTTGAAAAAAGTGTTATACAGTTGATTATTGATATCAAGTAAAGAATGGGAACCAAACACAGATTTCACACACTAAGACACACAAATGGTGCAGAACACAGAACACTAGATGGAATGGTATGCCATCCTCAGAACACAGTGTTTTCCCCAAATCTTTGAATTCCCTTCCTCCCATTTCTATTTAAGACTTGTGTTTAAAGAGAATTCTATTTCTTAAGGGATTTGGAAACAACTTAGCTCATTTAATTTTGGCTAGGTAGAGCTACAGCACTGTTCAGGTGTCTGCAGAAATGCTCGGCTGGGTTCTTTCCCATCTCGTTGACTGGAATAGGCAATTAAATGCGTTCACAGTTTTTCCTGAAGTCACTATTCAAGATGAAATGCTTCAGATTGTTGTCACTATCTTTCTGAAATGTAAATCCTTTCCCTAGCCTGAGACCCGGAACCCTCTGTAAAAGGCGATCCATCAGGGTTGCTTGGCATATTACTACACATTCATCTCTTCTCTATCCTTTCCTCCTGTCTCAGAATATTTGTCACTGAGAAGGAAAAAAGAGAAAGAAAAAACATCCGCACAACAGGAAGCATCCAACATGTTTCTCATGTACACCAGCTTTGTATCTTGTCCTATTACACCCAAAAAATCCATTCAAACAAAAATAACAAAACTGTAGTAAAACGGCCAAGCTCAACGTTGAGTGTCTGAATAACTTTAAGTAGCATACTTGATTCCTTCACTGAATTAATAAAACACTACTTTTCACTGTGTGTCTACTTGTGTGTGTGTGTGTTTGGCTCGAGAGGGAGAGAGGTCGTCTGTCAATTGGCAGGCCAATGGTTTGGTTTCCGAATCCCAAACCACAAGGGTAAGAAGTGCTGTGTCAGTGTGTGCGCGTACAAATGGGTCATGTAGTACACATGCCCTTTGAGTGGTCAACTAGATATAATAATAAAAAAGTCCTGTAAGCGCAGTCTATTTCTGAAAAAGCCTGCTCAGATGGACATGAAACAAAAGACCAGGGAATTCTCTTTGCACACAGTAAATACATGATCATTGTAAACATGGCTGTATGCCGAGTGTTTACCTTAGAGTGCCTCACAGGGCAGCCAGCATTCAGTACACACCTTTAAAGACACCAATAGCTGGCAACTAAAAATCATATCCTGTAACTTGGGCTCTATGTCAGTTTGCCTTTCTTTTTCTTTAGAAAAAGTACAGACTCAATGAATTCCCAGAGCTGCCAAAGAGTTCCGAAGCCTGGAACAAAGTCATGTGGAATCCACCTTACAGAAAGCACTGCTCTATTTCCTAGTTACACACATTCAAGGACAAGAGCGAGACACGGGCAATCGCAGGAGAAAGTGAGAAATATTTATGTTTGTTGCTGTTTAGCTAAGCTTTGTGATTCATAGCACATGCAGCGTGGCGCCCGGCAATGTTTTGTTTGATGCTAATGAGTTTCAAAGTGTTTTAATTAAAGCACATAGCACGAGTGGGTGCGTTTGTGCCTAACTGGGGACATTTGTTTAAGCAGAAACGTGGTGATCCATTCTTCTTTTCATGCTGCGTTTCCTGGACCTCTTTACAGGCTCACACAGCACGCTATGAATTTATAAAGATTTGAACGGATAAAAAAGGGAGAAAGGAATGGAGTAGCTTGAAGGGAGATGGGTCTGTTTAGGGAGAGAAATGTGGAGAAAAAAAAGTCAAAGGCCCGGGAGAACGTCAAAAAGAGGAAAAAGGCAGCATCAGATAGAGTAATGAGGAGACAGGCTGTCAACAGAACCCCTGGTGTTCCCACACACTTACAAGAGGGCCTGGAGTCTGAGGCTGCCATGAATTCCGTGACAATAATGTCATAGTTAAGTAACATCACAGGCTTTAATGCAAAAAAACCATCTGAAAAATCTGTTTGAACAGTGGTGTTGGGATTTCATCATGGAAGAAATGGATTGCTTTTGGGAAAAGCATGCCAACACACAAATAATCCCCTGAGATTTTCTGTACGCTGCATGAAGCTGAAACCCTCGGTCAGTCGTTGTGCAGCTTAGCAGGAACTGTAATCGTGAGTGTATCAGAAATCAGGCTTAACGTACTCATCTAGTGATCTCATTTAATTTTCGTCATCGCAGACATCCCTGCAGCAGCTCTTGTCACTTTCTGTCTAAAACAAACTTCCTTTGCTCCTGTGTCTTTAAAGCAATGAGACCGGCAAAGGCTTGTGTCACGGCTCGGTCACTCCGGTCATCAGTGACAATCTAGACTGTTTTCATGTGTTGTTCCAAGATGGTGGAACGACCTACCAAAAACGCTACAAGAACAGCAGCATCCCTGTACATCTTCAGGAAACTGTTAAAGACCCACCTCTTCAAGGAGCATCTCCTATCCTAACTCTTACCCATACCTCTATTCCCCCTCTACTTCTCTGTCTGCACTTCCCTCTCTCTCTTTGCCGTCACCACTGATTTTGACTGGGGATTTTCCTCTAGAGAACCTATTGTCATATTGATGTGTCTACTTTGTAAATCGCTTTGGATAAAACCGACTTGCTAAATGTATAAACATAAACATAAACATTACCTTAACTGCCTGCCTGCTGAACTGAGGTACCTATATGGGGAGTCAGCTCTAAATGGATGTAAGACAGGCTAATAATTTTGATGAACAGAGTCCTTGTGTGTTCTTTCACCGTGCACTCTGTCAGAAACTGTCCACATTTTTCAAATTTCATGATGATTTAACATGTTGAAGACGAATCGATGTTGGATCAGCCAGTGGGAGGGATCACGCTTGGCCGTTCAACATAGCAAGAGCCACATAGCATGAGCCCACAAGAAGGGAGGCGGAAGTGACAACAGACTCGGTACAAGATTGTCTCATTTGCCATTTTCACTCTCCATAACAAGTAAGTCTTTTCACAACAACATAGCCATCTGGAGCCAAAAGGACCGTGAGTCAGGAGGGATCAGCTCTACTGAATATGACCACTGTTCCGGCAGGGGCTCGAAAGTAGAACTCCAGAAAAAAACATAAAATCATTCTAGAGGCTGGTCTGGTGTCCATTTGTCACATTTCTTTATCTAGTTAAATTTTGAGAACTTTTAAAAAAAATACAGCTTGTCTTGTCAATATAAAGTCAGATGAAGAAACAAAAAGTCTACATCAATAGGAAATAGCCTTGACTTTGAACCTTTAGACTCTTTACTCAACCAAAAAGTTGAATTTTGTGGAAAGGCATATCAAAGCCCCGTCGCTATAAAAAGCAAACCTGCACCAATGACAGGATTCCGCACCACCAAACCAAAGGCCGCAACCCTGTCAGACTGCTGGATTTCAAAGCTGACCACTGGTAAGCAGGTGTAGCTCATGTTGGCTGTTCGGTCAGGAGTGAAAAGGAGTGACTTGAGGGTGAACAGCTGCAGCCACACGGTGTTGGAGACAGAGGCTGAGCCATAAAAATTTGCATATTAAACCAAATGAAGGTAGAGAGTTACATTTCGTGTGAAAAAATCTATGAGTGAGATGAGATTTCGAATATAAAATCAATGCTTTGACATTGTGCTTTCTTTTCAAAGTCTGCAAATCTCAACTGTTCTATGGAGCTGTGCTCTGCTTGATGTGCAAAATGCCTTTTAACTGATCTGCACATCAACCTCCAGCACAGATTATTTGGCCTGTTTGGGCCTCTGTTTGCTCTGTGATATTTGCTTTGAAAACTGAAATATCAAAGTGCTGACTGTCAGACTACTTTTTGAAGAAAAGAAAAAAAAGAAAAAAAGCCCTCTGCTTGGTATGCAAGCTATGATCCGAAGGTAGAGCAGAGCAAAGTTGAAAAAGTGCTCTTTTTTTCTATCCCCAACCACTTAGAACAGGAATTTTTTAAAAGGAAAATGAAATCACATTGCTTTCAAGGTTCTCGGAGGTGTGCTATTTAGATTAACATGCCGCACAGCCCGTCTGTGCACGGAGGATCAGCTGATCATTTGTGACAGGGGGAGGCTAAGGGAAAAGGCGATGATCAGTGTGATAATGCTAATGATAATGCCAGCACATTGATGAGAATTCATTTGCCTCCGTTCAGCCTGGAAGGGGTTATTTATGGGCTTGTGTCGGCAGGAAGAAACAGCCTCACACATGAGCAGCGGGATAATGAGACCAAACACGCATGAAGGCAAACATGTGTAAGACCGCCGCAGTCAGATGTCACACAGGAAGTGGGACACTGTGTGCTAAACAACTGCTTCTGCTGTGATACTTCTTATTTTTCAAAGTTTTTCAGCCCTCCTCTGCACCAGGTAACAGGTGGTTGATCATCTATGTTCCCGTGTTTAATCAGAATGATACTGCTACTCCACAACCCCCCAAAAAATTCAATCAAATGTTGTGTTTGCCTGACCAAAAAAGCAAAAAACAAAACGCGTATCCCCAGATCTAGCGACTCATATCATCACATCTCACCCTTTGCTGATGATTGAGGCAGCTGAAGACGTGAGATGCACACACTGGCTTCAGTTGCAGGCTCACATCTTTTGTGCTAAAAATAGCAGCTTTTTGCTCTCATCTCATATCTCTTTGTCATCCAAGTTATGCTTTTTAATGCGGAGGAGGAGACGGGAAGAGCAACACGGCTTCTCCGCTCCCAAACAAGGAACACGAGCAAAACAAGGCAATGGGAGCAACACGGAGCATTAGTTTCGCTGATGAACTGGAATCAAATAAATGCGGGACGCATGTGTGGGCATGTTTATTTGTGTTTGTCTGCAGGATGTGGGTGATTTCTTGTGGGAGCGTCAGTATAAAGCGCGGTGCCCCTGTCTGCATCCTCCAATCGGCCTCCTTATCAGTGTGTAAAAGAGAGAGCATCTCATCCTCAAGAGCCAAACAGAACATGTTTCCCTGACAACCGTGGGTCGTGGTCAGTTTGCATCCAGCTAAGACAATGCAGTCGTGTTGCGGGGGGGGGGGTAGCTTAATAGTATTTGTGGCTCTGATGGATCATGCTCAAGATCACGGAGGGAAATCAGGAGTAGCGTGGTGCGGAAAGTGTCCAGAGTAATTACAGATTTGTCATGGAAAAGGCCACCCTGGCTGATTTGTGGTTAAAATCAATCACATTCCCAGCAGGTAACATTCCCATTACTCAATGATGACCTTTTTTTTTTTTTTTTTCACTCTTGTATGCATTATCTACATTCTTAGAGAAGGAATCAAGGTTTTGTTGCCTTTCTGTCTTCCTCCTTTCATGAATAGCCTAAAGTAAAAGGATCAAGTGAAGCTCCCTTCGCGTATTAGAGCCAGGCAGCGTTGACCTTAAATAAGGGCTCACAAGGACTCTACACAAGTTGGACCAGCTTAAAAAGACCTGATTTGAATCAGGAACATGTGCTTCATCCCTCTGTGGAGGAGAGTTAGATGCCCATTTGAATGTGAGGGTACAGCCGGGAGCGCAAAGACTGGAACCAGCGTGGCTTTGTCCAAAGCTTATGTAATCCACTTCTCCTCTCTAGGCTTGTTGATTTACATAATGTATCTCATATTTTAACTGTTACAAAATACAAGTATTAAAAAACGTTTTTCAGTTTCACCAAATGCTACATGAAGGGTTGGCTGGGCTCTCTCTGAGCTGTTTTTTTTTTTAGCTTTTGCAATAATGAGTGAATGCATCACCTTTGTATAACACAGTCGCACACATTAAACCAGGAAAGTGGCACAGGAGCCATCTTCTCATTTAGGTCTGTATGAAAAAGGTCTGTTGCCTTTTTTATAATTTATTCCATCATGTTTTTTCAATGGAAATAATGACATTGTTCGTGGAGTGAACTGTTAACAAGCATCTCATTTTGTGTGCCGGAGCATACATTTTCTTGTTCATAAAATTGTGTTTCGCTTTCAGGGAAAGGAATTCAAATTGGTGGCGCAAAATTAAAATGGGTTCTTCCTTTGCTATGTGCCAATCGCCTCACCGGGTCTGACAGAAATTTGCCGGTTACAAAAAGAAACCTGAGAGAAAGGGAGAGATAACGCAAGGAGAAAAAACACAGACATGCCGTGTTCAGCTTCATTAAATGGGTACGACAAAAAAACATGGAAAAAGGTAGATGTGTCACAAGTTTTCCCAGAATGTACAAAGATTCACTGAAAATGTAGTTTACACAAAAGGCAAGTTTGGTTTCTGTGACTGTCAATTTTGAAATGACAAGAATAACTTTTGGTGTACTAAAACAGCTACGTTTAGTCTATTTTTATGTGTGTCCTTTTATGTATGACTTCAAGCCTGCCAGGCAGCTTTGTGACTACCAACATGAGATTGGAGCAGAGATTTTCAGTCAACTTTTGCGGCTTTCAAACTCTTTCTAGATGATTGTTAAAAACTGTCTTCTACATCCTGAATGGCACCCCTTACATGCACTAACATCAGGTGGTAGTGGACCAGCAACAACAGGTTGCTGCTCTTGTCCAGTTAAGCTGCAGCATCTTGAGCTCTCTCAGCTGACAGAGCAAAAGATAGACTAACAAAAGCCCAAAATATTCACCAAAACTTTAAAGTCATGTCAGCTCTTAACATTTAAATCGCTTTTGATTCTCTCATTGATTAACCTGGTTTTCAACACATTTTTAAGAGTCAAAATAACACCAAGTGTCCGATAAAAGCAATCTTTTCTGTGCTGTTATCACAGAGAGCACTGACAGAGATTACTGAGGAAAATGTCCAGAGAGTGCAGGAAAGGGAGAAGGAGCATCTTGAGTGGGAGGAAGTTGCGGAAATACGCTATGGAATGAACAAAAACGAAGAACAAGAACGATGGTGCTGAACGCTCCATCAGGCTTTAAGCCATCTGCCATCATGTCCTACTGCCACACTCTGACAGCTGCTCCCTAAAAGCTATACTATCAGCAACAGGCAGGCGAATCGCATGGCAAACAAATCATTAAACCATCACATCTCTTCAGCAATGTAGTAAAAATATTGCCTGGGACGCGTAAAAGGGGGGGTTGAATGTCTGTTTTGGTGGAAACAGGGTAACTGGAAGCCTGCTTTGGACTCTGAGTGCTCTTCTTTAATGCTGAGCTGCATCGGTTTGGAGCCTTTGATTCACACATCATCCCAAATTCGGAGGATGAATTACAACTCTGCTTTGATGATGTCCGTCAAAAACCTGCGGACACCGCACAATTGATTGCAGCTGCTATGTTTTCTACCGGCAGTTAATTCTGACCGTAATCTGACAGGGAATGGTGCTTTAATTCAATTAGCTGTCAGCGGCTAGTCGCTTTCAACCACTGTCTCTTTGTTATGCTCAGCACACTCCGCCCCTGACTCGGTTTAAAGGTCTGACGAAACGGGGTGAAAAGAAAGAAAGAACCCTGACTCAGCAGTGCCCTACCGGCGCCCCATCCGTCAATAGGGGACATAATAGCTTGAGTGGGCATTTGAAGGAGAGTAACATGACTGTGGAGTGGAAGAAAAAGCACAGCGGCCTTGGAGAGTCATTCCTCGGTGAATGAGTAATCATAAATCTGTCTGATAGAAATGTTGCAGTACACAGTTAATGTTTTCTTCTTTTTTTCTTTCCTCCGGTACACTTCCCGACGAGGTCCTGCCCAATAGGAACCCGATACAGCATGGAGACGACAGCTGTGTGTGTGTGTGTGCTGGAGAGCTGGCACATGTGAGTCAACCCCCCTAGAGACGCACACACTCCTCCACCGAAACTCATGAGACACTTTCCTTTTTTATTCCTCTTTCCTCTTTCACACCTACAGGCTCGTTCCCTTCTGGGGAATAAGCACCTTTTTCTCAGATCGATTATGCAACTTTGAGTCTTTAAACTGAGCTCTAAACAGTTAAAAATCTTGGGTCTTCTTGAGGAGCTGTTTGTTATTCTGACTGGGCGATCTCTCTGGCCTGCCTGTCAGATATTTTGGGTGTTATCAGAGGGCTTTCTGTGCCCTGCCAGCCATCGCTCTGCGAGGCCTCTCATTTAAGCCTCTCTTTTGTTGTCCCCCCCACCTGCCCAGATAACCACTGCTTTTCTTGGAGAGAAAAAATAGGAAGCGTTTCAGCAGCTCTGCGGTAATTGGCGGGTAGTTGCAGCGCTCCGATCGATGTCTCCGGTCAAAGGAACACAAGAGGCCACAATTGATAGTATTCAAGCGTACGCCTCGGGTCAATACAGGAACGGAGCATCCCATATCCAGGAACCACATCTCATATGTACATGCTGCTGCACTATTTCAGATAGAAAAGCCAAAGTCTCACTTACCTCAAACAACCCTTTTTTTAATACAATTTTAAACTTCTGTTATTTTGGGAGTGTGTTTATAGGAAGGCACCAAGATTGGATTCTGCATTGAAGGAGAGTAAAAAGAAAGAGTTTCTTTTAAACTTAGAGCGTGCTGTTACACAGTATGTGGCGGCCCATTACTCGAACAGAATGATAAAAAGTCAACTCTGAAAGACGGATTTAGGTAGGAGGACAGTTACGCCCTTATCATCTGAAGCTAAAGATTGTTCACTGGTCCTCATTGGTCCAGAAGTTGACCTGTCTCAAATCGATGTGTGACCTATGACCTGTGGCTATAGATGAAAGACCTGTATGATCTATTAAGAAAGAAGAACAAACGATAGAACAAAAGAAAGAAAGAAAGAGTCGGCCAGGTGTGTGCAGAGAAGACTCTGCTTAGCACAAAACTCATTCTTTTCTCAGGAGGGGGTTGAGTTTACTCTATCAAAGTGAAGCTGAAAGTGCTTTAAGTCAGTCTCCATAGCAACTAATAACGAAAGAAGAATACATAAAATAGTTTGGTTGTTTTTTGTGTGTCTTTGTGAGCTGCAACTTGTTAACTTGAGAAGATGTGAATCGAATAAGATGTGCATTCACGGAATGCCTCATCAGAGATGATGAGAGCTCGTGCAGACCCTCCCTCTGATGAAGTTGAACATTTTGAAGCAGGTGTGTGTTTTTTTAGAAGTACCTGACTGGCGCTTGCGGGGAAAGAAGAGATTGGCGGGACGTCCAGAACCTTCAGCTCGTACATGCTTCCGTTGAGGATGACGGAGGGTCTGTACACGTATCTGCTCCTGGTCGGGGTGTACGCCTCCGAGAAGTCGTTGTAGATGAACTGGCGGATTATAGAAGTTTTGCCCACTCCGGGAGCCCCGATCACCGCGATGCTCAGCGTCTCCACCATTCCTGGAGCACGGCTTCAGCACCATGGACAGCGGCGACGCCCGGGCAGATGTGACCGTCCGGAAAACGCAGCTGGATGCGCGCTCTAATGGAATCCGATCACGGCCCCGGGTGAGGGCGAGAGACGGACGGGAGAGGAGCCGCACAGCTCGAGGCTGGTCAGATGGCGCGCTCCGGCATGGTCACGCGACCGCCGGCCGACGCGCGGAGGGGAACTCTCGCTCTTGGTTTTCAGGGGGACGTCCCTCTTCCCCGGGGAGGAAACAGAGAAGTCCGACCTTTGCCGCCTCCTCCACGTGGACATAGTCCCGCCCGGGCTCGGCTCTGACCTTGTCCACGCTTCTCCGGGGCTGTGGTGGTCTTCATCGATTATCTCCTCTGCGCCTCTCACTCATCCCCGCCGCCGATGCGCCACCTCCGCGGAGGAAGGCGCGCAGCCGCAGGGTCGTAAATACGCCGTCCACGTGCTCCCCAAACGGGCACTAAAACCTCTTAACCCCTCGGTTGTACGAATATCAGCGGTCTGAGTCAAGAAAAACAAGCGAACAGCCAACACAGCAAACACACGCGCGCTTTCTGTGAAGGCATCTGGAGTCTGGTGAGGCTGAATCTGCCGTTGGCTGGAGATCTCTCTCTCATCCTCTCTCTCTCTCTCTCTCTCTCTCACTGACGCTCTCCCATCGTTTATATCCCGTGTCTCGCTCATCCAATAGGATCTTTCTGTGCGCAAAGCGCGTGAAACCTTGGCGCTACCATGCGCCGTCAACAGTAAATGGAAAAGGAACAGGCCACACTCCATGCATCATCATAGAGCGAGGGTCACGGAAGACTGGATTTATGTCTCCGAGGTGACTTACCAGCTCCTGGACGGGGTGTCCAGGCAGGGCAGGGTCAGTGTGTAGCATCAATCACTTCTGGGTGACACTGGCTCACAATGGAGGGGTCAGAGGAGTAAAAAATAATAAATCACACACTCAATGTCCCTAAGAAGGAATGGAAATGACTCCAGTGGTGGAATTACACCACTTTCCATTTCTGGTTCTCTTAAGATACGTGCACATCATTTAGATAACCAAAGAATTAAATGGTTTGAATATTTTTTTTAGACCAGGGCTCTTTGGAACCATTGACACACCGAGGATGCTCATAAACTCCTTATATGCTGAGACAATGTGACGACCTAATAAAGCAAATTTTGTAACAATCTGGAAATTCAGAACTTGCAACAGTCTCATGTTTTTCAATGTACGGTCAAAATCACCTTTTGGACCAGGATCTGAGTGTTAAAAAAGGTTGCTCCTTTGCACAGAGCAGTGCTTCCCCATCCCCGTTCCTCCATCCCCACTGCTTCCTGGCTCCAGCTTTCCTGACTCAAAGGAACGTCTTCCTCGGCCTTCTGCAGAGCTCCAAGAACCGCTTCATCCATCTGAATCAGCGTGTCGGAATAGAGAAATCTGGAAAACATGCAGGGCCGTGTGCTTGAGGACCAGAGGTGCAAACAGCCGGCACAGAAGATTTAAGATGACCTTTGAAAAAGGGCCTCCATCTGAAAAACACCTCAAAGGCCACAAATGAGGACTCTTTGATCTTAGAGCAAAAATCCCAATGATTTCACCTGTTGTTGAACAAAGATGAGGCGCACGTGCGTATATGAGCACAGCACATTTTATAATGCCCAGCACAACGTAGCTCTCACTTTAAATAACCTGCAAAAAACACAAAACAACATAATTCTGTCAAACATGGAGATTCAAACGAAATGAGAGAAAATGAAAGAAAACTAATATCCCTGGTGGGTTTCCCCTCCACCCAGTCTGAGCCTTCCCCCTTCATGACAGTATGGGGACTGAGGTGTTCTCACCACAGACGGCCAAACGAATGGATCACACGGCTGAGAGTGGGCCACTCGTTACAGCTTTGGGGAACTGATTCAACACCGACCGGAGAAAGGGCTGACGTTTCCCGTTCACAATCCAGATGAAGTTTTGTTTGTGTCCCCAGATAGCTCGAGCAGTGGAAATCCAGGCATCAGTCCCTCTGAGAAGCACAGCTAAACACAGTTTGTAGGCAAAGTAGCCAGCATCACGTGTGTGAAGCCGTTTCGATTATCGAATGTGGTGCGAATCCTACGCACGAGGCCTCTCTGGGCCTCTGGGAAAGTGGACTTTACCGATCAAACAAAACAGGGCAAATAAAGGCATTAGCGGAATTCTTCATTTTCACTGTGTAAACAACAAAAAAAGATGAAATCATGTCAATCATTAAGACTTTTAATAGTTACTTTCAAATGATGTACACACAGTGAACAAAATCAAATCAATCCAAAACATCTGATTAAACATTTGATTTTTTTTTTTTATACAGCATTTAAATGAATCAGCCGCCACCACACACGCAAACAAACAAACACACGCACACACACAGATATACCTCAGAATGTACTGCCTCTACTGTAGTCTACTATGGTAGTTAGTGTAGGTGCGCTCATTCTGTAGAAGCACTAAACAGAGCTCCGCTATAATGCCTCAAAAACTATTCGAAGGGTCAGACACTGTTCTAGCAGCCCTTAGCCAAAACCCAGCGTGCTGCCTGCGTTTAGGAGCGAGACACACACTGTGGCATGGCGTGTGTCACCTGGGCCTTCATCTCCGGTGGCCGTGGTTAGGAGAGCTGCGCTGGGATACAGTGAGCAGAGGCGGAGGCCCCAGAGGCTGCTGCTGACGCGCAGAGCAGCCGGCACGCAGCCCCAGGCCTGCCAGTCTGCCCTCACGTACACCCACAGAACTACAGAGACGGAAAAAATAACTAAAATAAAAAAATAATCAAACCTTGGAATGACTAGGCAAGAGAGCAGTCGGTGGACGCCTGCTGCGAGTCTATAAAATGTCAAACAGACTGATGTAAAAGTCAAAGAAAAAAAAACACACCGACGGTTTTCACACACGCAGCACACGTTTTGATTCGGGGAACAGATTGGGATCCAATCCCACTGTTCTAAGAGCACTACAGAAAACTAGAAAATAACAAAAACGACGATAGTGTAGTATGTATTTATGTGTCTCTTGTTGGGGCCCCCACGCCCAACATCCACCTCAGACAGGCAAAAAGGGGGGGGGTTTAGCTCTCATTCTGCCTCATCTCATCTCAACTGACCCCCACACGTACATGGGAATGAAGTGGTGAATCGCCTGCTGCATACAAATTACAAAAATAGGCTGAAATTGGCAGAGAATTGCAGCAGGAAAATGATTACAGAGCATCATGCAGAGAAGACAGGGGCAGGAGTCAGACAGCCGTCCGTCCCCAAAAGAATAAAGATCATTACAGGACGGCTGAGGAGGGGAAGAATGATGCTGCTCTGTTAATTATCATGGAAAAGAAGTCAAACTGGAGGAGGTGGGGGGAAAAAAAAAAAGGAGGGGGGGGGGGGGGGGGGGGATGATGAGACTGGCCAAAAGGAGAGGAACAAGAATCTCTGCAGGATTTGCAGAGAAGAAAAAGAAAAAGAGAAAGAGAGCAGAAACTGCCAGAACAGATTATTGAGGATTGTAACGGGCAGAGCCAGCGTGAAGGGGCTCCTTCACACCGGGATGTTGTGGTGCGGTGTGGTGCAGATCAGCTGAGGAAGAGGAGGGAGAGGTGCCAGGAGCTGGCCGGCGGCCCACAGGCGGCGGCTCAGTTCCTCAGCACGGCCTCGTAGCTCTGGAACACACACTGAGACACCTCTGCAGCTCTGCACTTCAGGGAGACCTGGGGGGGGAGAGAGGGTTTGGTTTAACGCGTTTGTCTGATGGAATGATAAAAGCTTAAGACAGCCACTTTAACCAAGAGCAGATTCATAAATACCTAAAATAACAAAACAAAAAAGAAGCCTTCAGCTTAATCTGAAGGAGGACAGTTTAAACAAAGCAAAACTAATTATTCAGGAGTCCTGAAAATGTCCAATTTTAGCCAAACCACTCAAGTGTTTTAGTCATTTTTTATTTTGGTGAGCTACCAGAGGGGTAAATGGAGGAACGTTAAACACACTCTTAACCAGGAGAACACATTCATTATCATTCATGGAGCTTTGGATTACAACCTCCTAAACCCAGCCTTATCAAGCACCGCCAGACCCACTGACTATAATCCAGATGCAGAAGTACACTGGAGGAAATGCAGGTTTACCGGCCCTCTCTCTGGTGAGAGGCTCTGTTGGGAGAAGGTCGTGGACTTAATAGAGTCTCACAAAACATCCCCCCAGCACCTTCTATTTTCTCACAGCCAGAAGCACACAGTTTACAGGAAAGCCCGGGCAGCTGCAGCTGTCAGAGAGCCGCATCAGGGCATCAGATACTGCGGAAAGAGCGTGACAACAGAAGCAGCAGCCTGCACGTCTCTGTGGAGGCGAGGAAAAAATATGCATTCTTCTAGACAGGTGAGCCAAACACTCCATCTCCAGGATGGAGGTTATGAAGGTTTTAACCACGCGCGTTGCTTTGAACTGCTGGACTATTGTGTGATGGTGGGAATTCAAAACGGATGTTACAAATAGGAAATGACTAAAAGTAGGACAGCAAAAAAAGGAGAGTGAGCAGAGAAAAAGGAGCACTTTAAAAATCTGTATTTTTCTTCTTCTTCTTCTCTATCTCAGCCCCTCATATCTGGTAACGTTTAGTGTTCATTTCACCGCATCTGATCTGATGTTATGATGTTTTATTTGTCTTTGTATCATGTTCGCTGATCCCCAACGAGCTGCTGTGCTCGGTAATTTTCTCCTAAGCCCTCAAATGCCCGTTTGTTCCTGTATCAACAGCACTGATGGACTCCATTATCTTAATTACTGTCATCAGTTATTCACCTGAAATGGGATGATGTGATGGACGGTGCTACAGGGCGTTTAGCGCGGCCTGCCTGCCGGTACACAGGGCTCCTCACTAACGGATACTACTGGCGGCGCTCAGGCGGCCACGCTCACAGCGGCAGGATGTGAGGAGAGGCAGGAGCTCGGGCTGCTGTGCAGAGGCGGCATCTTAAACGGAGCACATGCGCTCCGCCTGAGGCTCGCTGCTGAAGCGCTCTCATGTCAGAGCATCGAGACGGGGAAATGAGAGACGGAGGGGAGATGAGAGGAAAAAGGTCTGAAACCGACGGTGAATTTGCTGCTAAATTCTTTGAGCTTTGATTCTACGTGGAATTTTTTTTTTTTTAGCAAATAGAAAAATGCAAAAATGCGAAGAGGCCAGATACAGCAGTGTAGATTCATAATGGCATCCCGTATTTGGGCCTGGTCTGTGCATTATCAAACATTGTCAGGTAATTAAAAGCGCCTGCTGGGTTAAGAGGCAGAAGCAAACTGATAAAAAGGCGCCATCATCACGCCACCTGGAGCTGGGCAATGATGAACTGCACCTGCAGTCATCAGGGGCGTGTTTGACTTTAGACTGCCACGTCGATCTCGCGTCCTCCGTTCCTCTTTCTTGAAAAGCCGAGTACTTGTGAGTGAGAACAGAAGGCGGCGAGGCCAGACAGGCCGGGCGGCGGCAGCAGACCGGACATTTGCATAACTCTGAAGTGAGCCAAGGGAAGCGGGCAAAAGCCAGCGGGAAGGATGGGCTCAGACACAAATCAGCTCACCACGGGATCGATCGGTGAGGCTGCGCGGGCCGTTCTGGCCAGAGACGACCAGGCTGGAATAAAGTCGGACCCGTGGCGGTTTGTCTTACAGTGGTGTGGGGGGGGGGCTCGTATTTCCTGAAGGAATCACTTACAGAACCGTTCTGGGCGCATTAAGTATCAATTCAAGTGACAAGTTGAATTTTCAGCAGGATAATGACGCAAAGCAAGACTTAGTGATGCCATGGAAGGGGGAAGAGAGCATCTCCAAGATGAAAATGAGGGCATTAATTGCTGAAACATGGATGAGGCATTTCCCACAGCTGCTCAGAGCAATGGCTGATCTCCAGATCTTATGAGGCAGAACCTACAGAAGGAAGCAACAAAACCGTCTTTTTTTCCCAAATACACTGAAACACCATTTCCTTTCATGTTTGCTCATAATAACTAATAATAATCAAAGCTTTCAGCAAAGGGACATAATGCAAAAATGTTCAAAGAGAGACAAATATTTATCCCTCCGCCTGCTCGTGCAGAGGAATGGCGCATATGTTTTGCATGTAGGGGAGCTTTGTGACTTCTATTTCTGAGTTTACTGAAAACAGCTCAAGAGGTGGGTAGAGAATAACCAGCCAACATCGCTGGTCACATTGTTGCCATGGGGACAGGAGATGGCAGATGAGAACACCCAATGCTTCACGTCATGAAGACGAGCAGCATCCCAGCGCTCCGTTACAGAGAGCTCAGAGATGTGACATCCAGGAGCCGAAACGCGGTGACCTGCCGGCCTGGTGAGAGCGGGCTGGCTGCGTTTTAAGGGCCTACGCGAGAACAAAGGCAGAAACTAAGAAGGGGCTGTCTGCGGTGAGAAAGCTGCAGAGAATTAACGCTAAATCTGCAGCTCTGACGGCGAGTTCCAGCTTCTTCTTCTTCTTTCTTTTTTTCCTGGCTTGTGACTTTGTACTTCTGCTATGCTATAAACACCTTCATAAAGGTCTTTTTTTTTTTTGGGCTCCAGCTGGCAGCTGGTTTCAGCTAAAGGAAGGTGTGATTCTGTAAAAACACTCCAATATATGGGGGTGAAAAAAAAGTTTACTTATATTCTTAATTCTGAAGTTGTATGCATCATGAGAGGATTTAAAAAAACCTGTTTTATACCAGGTAATACAACTGGCTACATAGAACCTGAAATGAACATCTGGGTCTGTCCTATTACTCCTAAAGCTGCAAGAACCCTCTTTAGCTCCGAGTGGCAGTGGCAGTTATTGGTGTGATATCAGTCTCCTTTGTTGGCCTGTTCTCATTTACAGCATTTGACCACATTGAAAAACGCCGCCTGGCAGCTTAATTCCTATGGAAGCAGTAAGAGGTCCTGGATTTTTCGAAACTTCGGCATTTCGCAACATTTTTTTGCAATGAATGCTGACATGTTGCATTAAGTGTTGTTCGTCATGGGAAGTTGTAGTTTTCAGGAGCCAGTAAAGGCCGGATGATTTACAAAACCCCGCTCTCGGCTATATGTGCAGCTCTGAGTGTAGTTTCTAAAACTTCTCTTACATCTGGCCAGCGTGGCAGTGCCTTTTGACTGACAATCAACCTTTCAAGCTTTGTTAAATTACTTTTCCATTCTTACTGAACTGGAGTCAACAAGGGGCAGCACAGTGAGGAGAGCCCAGAGGCATCGAGGGAGAGTTAAAGCCCATAGAGTCCGTAAAGGTGCAGAAAACCGTCCCGTCCAGCTGTAAACCGGCGCGTGTGCAGCAGCGAAAACAAAGCACTTCCTCCTGGTTTCCTTCCCATGAAAATGAATTCAAATACACCGATATTTTTTCTCGTCTTCTGAAGGACCGCAAAGCGCCACAAAAACACTTTGCAGGGCTTTACTCAATCAGGTCTAAAAATAGCTGCTGACAAAAGGCTTTGGCAGCGTGGCTTTAATGTCCTGTGCCAGGAGAGCAGAGGGAGCATGCAGCAGCTCTCAGGAGGCAAACCTCAAAGCCTGGTCCTGTCTCCCCAAGTGATTCAACCATAATTAGTGGAGAAAAATGGATTTTAAAAATTAGATACTTTTTTTTGTTCTTTTTTTAAAGGAGAAGTTTTAAAGTAAGTAAATTATCAACCTCCTAGATATTTAAAGTTGGTCCAAAATGTATGCACAGAGAAATCTGGAGAAAAATGAAAAAAAAATAGAGTTTCCTGACTGAACAAATCTATAGTTAATCAACACATGAGTCATGCTTTCTGCTATGCAGTGAATGACTGCGTAGCCTGCATGACAAAAGGCACGAACCAGTTCAAAATTGGGAGGATTTAATGAACAAGCTCTGTGTGGCTGACAGATCTACTACGGCTAGACCGAAGTAAACAAAAAGACAGCTAATGCCACCTTATAAATAAAACATACTGTGCAGGCACACTGAGTGATGAGGAGGGAGGGGAGTCACTCCAAGGTCAGCGCTCATGCTGAATCTGTAAGCCGAACGCTATTCGTCAGCGGCGGAGGAGGTGGCGCCGGCCCGCTGACGTAGCGGGGCTGCTGCGACATCAAAGCCAACGCGCGATAACGTGTGCGCACCCGAACACGCGAAGCAGCCCCCCGAGCAGCCTGGGGTCTGCGGCATCCATCTCCATCACGTCTGCTCGGGCAGGTGGAGGACAAGGTGCCGTTTGTCTCAATCCATCATGTGGAGCCGTGACAAAGCACCTTCAGCTCATCATACCGACTCATGACAGTGTGTCGGCCCGCGATGGCAATTTGAACCCTCTTTATAGAGAACGCAGATCAGCGAAAAAATTAATCTACTGAAAAAATATATACATTAAAGAGAGTTCTGGACCTGCTGATGGGGCCAAAATGAGCCTCTCTCCTTGTCTGCTTTAGGTGAGATTTAACAGTCATCATTGGACATTACAACATTTCTGAAAAATGCACAAGTACTCACTGTGTAATTTGGATTCCCTGCCTGCACCCTCAGCTCTGCCAGCACCCAGATGCCATTGGTGAGTTTCATGGACTGGTACATCATGTCTTGGCCATCCACTGTGCGCTTTGCAATGGTGAAGATGTTACTGCCCTGCAGCTTGCTGGAAGCTGCATCTGTTAACAGAATACAATCGAACTTTAGGGCCTTTATTCTTTATGCTGTTATTTTGCTCACTTTTGGTTCAGCTCAGATGTTTAATGTGGACACCCTCAATGACTCCTGTCATGCTCCGCAGCTTCCTGCAGAAACAATCAGTAAACGTGCCAGAGCTTGAAGAATGTATTTCCCCTCTATCACAATGGAGAAATTTCACTCCGGGCCGTCTGCGCGACAAAGATATAGTCACTAATTCAGAATTAACTTTTTCATCCTCAGCTTGGCTCTAGCTGTTGCGGCCCAGCAGGATGTGAACTGCTCTCTTTCTGTTCACAGAGTAGAAATTCAATCTGTTGGGGGAACTCTCTATTAAGCTTTCATTAGGGATTCTTCTCCAGTTCAGCTGCTCTCACCCTTGTGAGAATCTAAATGATGACACATAAATAGTGACTGCGGTTGATGAGCTCCCATCCAATACAATTTGCTTCATTAGCAGAGATGATTTGAGATTGACATGGCTCTACACAGCTTTTTTTTTCATGCATAAAGGTGCTGCGGGATGAGGGGCTCAGTGATGTGTTATTCAGCGGGTTCAACCGGTTTTCTTACCTGAGCTGAGATGGCAGTCTTTCATCTGAAACTGGGACTCATTGTCATTCGGAATGTCTTTCCATGTGGCGAGGAACACTTGTCGCTCTGTGGATGAACAAAGGAAACCACAGAAAGAGCTCTATGAAAATAAAATTTTCTACAAAAATTCATCCTTCCTTGCTTTGTCTGTAGTTGCTTTTTCCCGGCAGGGTCTCGCATCAGAGGCAGGGTCCACTCTAAAATGAGTGTCAATAATAGTGGAATTTGAACGATTGTGGATTTTTTATTTTTTACTTTCACAGTGAAGGGGAAAAAATAAAAAAAATAAAAATGTGGGCGCATATTTCAGTTTCGCGGTAGACAAAAAGCCTCCTGCTGTGGCTATAAGGCACCAAAGCATTAGCTCACAGCCTCTGGTGGCACTCCGGCTGCCAGCCCCGTCAGAGGGCTCCACAGGGGAAAAACACAAACACGTCTTTCACTAAATAACTAACAGCAACAGATTAAAAAAAAGGAAATGAAGTTCACACTGACACCGAGCTCCAATCAGAGTCACATGTGAGAAGTGACTGTCACATCGACGTCAGGCAGGCATCAGTCCCTCCGCCAGGGCTGATTATTGTACACCGCTGACGTCAGCAGGCTTTAAAAGGCGCTCAGTGAAGAAATACTCACCCATCTTCCCATCTTCAACAAACAGCATGCTCATGGGGTACTGGCAGCTGAAGTAGAAGACGTCAATGTTGTTCTTAACAGCCACCTGCGGGAGGGTTTTAACCAGGGAGGAGAGACAGACGAAATACATGAGTAATTGCTCTTTAAGTGTCCTTCACACGCATACGCACACACAATGATGGCGTTTTGTGTGCCCTGCCAGCAAGAATAGAGGACAGTTTGTGTAAGATTAGTGCTTTTAATTAGCTTTAGCTTCAAGTTTAACAAAAGATTTTTTAAAAAGGCATTAGGAATTTATTATATTGGGAGAGCTGCACATGAATTTAAGACAGACTTTCTTTAGCATTTAAACTGTCAACCCCTTCACAAAGTAAAGCAAAGCCGTGTTAAAAAATGCATCTTAGGATGTATTAGACATCACAATGGTTAGCTTTGGCAGTCACCATAAATGATCAAGGGGATTGAGGAATTACAGAGAATACAAGAAGAAACAATTCAGCTTCTGGTCACGTTAAGGAGATTTGGCTTTGATGAGCTTGATTTCATGCGACTCTGGTTGGTTAAACACATTTACAATTATGGTAGTTTGGTTTGGCTTTGTCTTACAAAGCAATCAGTTGTATTCAAGAGTTACGTAACAAAGTTAATAAAGAGTCCGCTTTGAGGTGTATCTTCAGCGATATGAAATTATGTAAAAACAAAAATGAAAAAAGATATTTCACCGTTCGTTTGCTTACAGTTTGCATGACTGCGATTAGTATGCAGCTACTTTGGTCACCCAGCAATCAGCTACATCCTTGAGGCAAAGCTTTATGTATCTAGCAAGTGAAAATTTGTCATTTATCGATTTATTCGAATAAGCTGCAGATAAGTGGCTCAAATCCAAAGTCTAATCTGAATGCCGCTTTAGTGGATGGAGACAGGGAACCAGCACCGTTAGGAAAAAGAAGCTAACACAGTCAATACCACACATTAGCCTTGAATTAACTGCTGAGTAGGAGATTTTGCTGAATGTTAATTATTTCCTCTTTAGATGCCACCCCCCCTCCACCCCAGTTTATCATCAGAGATCCAGATTAAAAATATCACAGGATTTCAAAGCAGACTCTAAATGCCTCTGTACATCACAGGCTTGTTGTAATGCAGGAGGCGCCTTGCAAACCAAACATCAAAATCCATCAAACTGTAAAACACCTTTTGAAGCTGCTTCAGAAGAACATAAAAATAAATAAAAAATGGAGAGACACAAGAATAGATGCCAAGCTTAAAAATACAGGATTTTGAAGTCCAATACTGAAAAAGGAGAAGATCTAAAAATTGTGCCAAACAAGATCGAGGAGAGAGACAAAAAAAAGACTCATTTATCAGTCTAAACTTCTTGGTATTATGCCCCAGGAGTCACGAGGACAGGGTGTGAGACGCATGAACAAATGCTGCATAAAGAGGACACCTGTGGTAACAAGCAGCAGCTGATGCTGCAGATCAATCGGCACAATAAAGAAATGCTGTGAAGGAGAGAGGATGGCACAGGAAGGCCTGAATAATTCATTCAGGTGGTTTATTCCTGGAAGCAATGCAAGAATGCATAAAGCACACAAATTGCTTTGTGTGGTTCTGAACATGAACTGGAGCTCTGTGAGGAAGAGTACCTTTGGTCGTATAATCTCTGATTCCACTGATATACAAACATCTGCCTGGGCTAGAGTCCACACAGAAACCACACAACTATGACAGAAGGGCCAGAATACTACGAAAATATATCTGCCCACATAAACAGCTTTTTATGCAAGAACTATTTTTTCAAAATCCTATTCCAGCAGACTAACTTTTCAGTGTTTCCCAGTTTTCCAAATACCCTGAGCTCACTTTTATTTGAAGATTTTTTTGCATCAGTGAAACGTCATGGGCCAGGAAAACCACAGCATAATATCTAAACAAAACAAAGGCTAAAAACTGCTAAGGAAAACAAAGAATTAGCTCCCTCTCATCCAGGCAAGAACAGCGCAGTTACATCGGAACACTTGTGTTTAAAGTCACGTCTCAGAGAGAAGGCACATATTTGTCCTTTATTAGACAATTTGGCAGCAATTTATATTCGTCTAATGGGGAATGAAGGATACACTTTAAACAAAGAGAATGAAAGAGTCAAATTAAATGTGGTCTGATAAAAGTCTTCATATTTGCCTACCACAAAGGAGTGGCATTGAATATATGGATTCCCTGTGTGCTATGAAAGAGCACAAAATCAAATAGTTTTGGTCATTCAGAACGCAATAAAAAATGTTTTTTTAAAAAGGAAAAATGCCACAAGATAATAACAGAAGTTTGACGCACAACTGTCAGAAAACTCTTTTGTATTTGGTATGTTTTTACCACAGCTGAAATGAATGGACAGTATCCTCTCACCGCTGTCAGACTCAATAAGTCCTGTAGCAGATGCTGCCATTTACCTTTAACCTCTCCACGATCTGCTTAGGGTGCGTTTTTGGGTGCATACAGAAATGCCGTCTCTTCGGGGTCTGTCGTCCTACTGCTACCTATGCTGCACAGAAACAAACTGAAGGCGTGCAGACAGCTATCGCTGCTGGATCCGTGCAGGGCGCTCAGCAGATGTGCTGCCAGCTGACACACAGTCTCAACTGCTGCTATAAAGCCGGTGCAGACCATCCTCTGGCAATTTCTTTGTCACCAGGAGGCAGAAATATTGCTCCGACTCCGTGCAGAGGCTGCAAAAAGCTGCATTTGACTGAACCTCACAGCTGAAACTGAGCCCCAAATCGCTTACGTCGCACCCAAGCGTTTTCTAAAGCTGCCGTTAATCTTTACGCCAACAATAAATGTTGTGTTGGAGAAGGTAGAAAAGGGTAGAAAGAGAGATACATTTCATGGGCCATTAACTAACTAAACAGATGAAGAGACAACATCATCTGCCTGGTTCAGTTGAGCCGCTGAAACCAACTGAATTTCTGTTCCTATCTGACATTTGCGGTCCAGTTTACAGTGGCTTTTTTAGAAAAGCTTCACAGCTGACTGAATACGCTGTTGAATGCAGTCCTTTAACATGAAAATTATCTTAATGCTGGCGAACTACTGCTCCAAAACACCAGAACATACACTGCTCAAAAACTCCCACAGAAAAACAAGTTCCCTCATGGCGAGGGGGAAAAAGTACCCCTCTCAAAATAAACTGCACAAGGGAAATCGTCAAACAGACAGCAGGTCACATCAAAGCACGGTCGGCAGGCAGCAGAGTAGAAAGGTTAGCAAAGCTGCCGAGGCCAAGAGAAACAATGGAGTCGTGTGCACTAATGACCGTTCCCGGCTCCATCAGACCCCTTGACACTCTTATCTTCTCTCCCCAGCTGCACATAGGAAGCATTCACAATTCTTCTCCCCTGTGATCAAACCCAAGCCATGCTGTGCCACATCTTTTTGATTAATTTCTTAAGCAACATGAAACAGCTCAACAGTCTGTTTTTCATGTTTTAAATCCTATTTGATTCAAAGCATTTTGGATTTTCAACTGTAAGCCTGAATAATAATGAGGATCCATTAGTAATTGCATGAGACGTACAGTCATGTTTTCGGGACAGTTCAGCCACAAATATTGAGCTCCAAGGGAAATGTGGAGCTGAGGTTAAAATACAACCAGCTTTCTTTTGTAGTTGGGCCGAGTGAGCAGAGCACTTCTGCTTCACTGTCAAATTCTAAATAAATCTACACAGACTGTAACATTATCAGCTGAAACAGAGCATTTGGGTATCCTGGTGTGAACAGCTGGCACTCATAACACTGTGTCTCTGCTTTGTACTGACGCCTGACGATCATCTTGCTGATATATCACACAACATCTTTTAAAGCTCCGTCTCGGATTAAAAGAGCCCTGGAGTGAGGAAGGACAGAGATTGTTCTGGAGGATAAAACCACTGCGTTACCTGCAGGTTGTTGAGGGGATCCATCTTCATAACAGGTCCAACAGTATTGAGGGGAAGGGCCACTTCAATAGTTTGATTTGGGCTGAGAGGAGTCAGAACCTGGAGTGGACCAGCTGGAGCGAGACCGAAGCTGCAAAGAAGTAGAAGAAATGGCATCACAGAACGTGCCTGGAACTAACATCGGAACGTTTCTGGATAGAAGATTGGCCTACCTGTTTCTATTAAACTGGATGGCAAAATCAGTCATAACACTCATTGCTTTATTGGTGAGGGTCATCTCCATTTGGATCACCCCAGCGCGGCGGGCAAAAGTGCCTAATATCTCAAGCCCCTTGGCCTTCATGGCTGGGAGCCAAATCTGGAGAGCAAGATAAGTTGTTGAATATATCAAACCCCACCCCCCCACCCCACCCCCCCTCCATTCAAACCTATACACTCACTGTTTTGGGGGGGCTGTAGGCTCCCATAGGCATCCCCACTCCACCTCCAAGATCAAACAGGTCATCCAGGCCTCCACTGACGGGGGCACTGAATGGGGCTGGCACTGCCGCTGGAGCCGCACCAAAACCCGCCCCCATCTGTAGGTGGGCAGAGCAACGTGTAAGAAAGCCAACATTACCCCGAGTTAAACAATCAAAGGCAAACACATCTTGGATGAAATTACTTACAGCAGGACTCCCTCCAAGATCTCCGCCAAGCTGAGCGTGGAGAAGAAGCACAAAAAAAAGCATTAGACACTTAAATGAAATTGAATGGCATAGCTACACTTGGGACGGTTTAAAGAGGAATGATGGGGGAGAGTGAGGGTCTAAGAAATGTCTTTCTGTGATCTGTAACAACTAGAGGATTCACACACTATTAACAGGTGACAGTGAGAAGGTGACGGGAACTCCTTTTATGCTCCTGAGTGATGAAAGATGAGCGTCTATTGGAATCCAATAGGTTTCATCCAAATGCTGCTCTATGAATCTACTGTGGTGGTGAAGAGGTGAAGCACAAAGTGGACAAAGCTGTCCAAACGATCCCACTGAGTGGAAAAGCTTAACTAAGGTGTAAAGAAAGCAGAACTCTGAGACATAACATAAGTGTGATTGACTAAACTCCCACCTACTCTGAGTGGGAAAGCAGTGGAACACAAAGTGCAAACAGGCACTGATTGCTGCTGGGGGTGACTAGTCACAGGACACAGTGGAACCACGGGGGGGGCGAGAGGGACTGGGTTCTAAGCTGTTGAACTTTATGGTCCAAAGTGGTCCCGTGGACCAACCTCTGTGGGGCTGTAATCTGGGGGCGATGGGGACTGATGTGGGAGCTGAGGTGACTGAGGAGTGTCCGTCCGCAGGGGAATGGGTGGCTGATTGGAAGATGAAACACATCGCACAGCCCAAATATAAGCTTCTTAAAAACTGGACTCACAGATTCAGCATCATGCTAACTGTATATACCAAAGCACCAACAGACGACAGCTGATGAATGAAAATGTCAAGACTAAAACAGGAGAAGTTCATGCCTAACAGCTGTGATTAAACAGCCCATACCATGTCACACGTAATTCTCTCCTACAGATTAAACCATTTCTGAACTTCTTCACTTTGTTGGCCTTTCTTCTCTCACCCGCTGACAGTTTCTTATTAATCTTTCACACAAACTACAGCTTTCCAGACTGTCCAATTCCCCAACCCCCTCATTTTTCCACAGCAAGAGCGGGGCTCAGATAAAGTACTGGGAAGATATATTACCTCCAAAGCTGCGCTGGGGAGGCAGCGTTTCAGATTAAAATGACATGGCTTTAGGGTGTGGCTTGCAGCAATGAACTGCCATCCTCATGTTTTGCAACCCGACTGCAGGTTCCCTGAACATCCTTTGCATGATATGGGCTCTTTAAACTAAATCTTTATTCATGGTCTAATATATTCTAGAGATACTGGGCTCAACCCCTCCATGTAGTTACCGGCTCAGACTCATCCCCCATCTGCAGGTGCAGCGTTGAACAAGGAAAGAAGACAGCATCAAGAAAAAAGAAACTAATAAATGAATAACCAAACACAAATAAAAGACAGGGATAAAATAGAAAGATATGACATAGGGTCCCCACAGTGATCATGAGAATATTTAAAATTACAGAATACTTTCAGACTCCAACAGCTTTCCTCATTAAGTAGAGTGGAAAACACATACCAGGCTGTCTAATCCTCCACCGAGAAGGTCCATGGCACCCATCTGCATGCCAGAGGAAGGAGGCGGTGGTGCTGGGCCTGTGGTGGTCGGGGGTGTCAGGTCCAGATTGAGAAGATCCCCCAGGAGGTCTCCTTGTGATGGGATGACAGCAGGAGCTGCATCGGAAATGCCGGCAGCAGAGCTGGTGTCTGGGCTTTCCACGCTCTCACCGCTGACAGAGAGGAGAAAAAAAAAAAAAAAGAGAGAAATCTTAACACCGACTAAAAAGACTGGCAGCTTGATGATCCCGGTGATTTTATGTTTATAATGCATTATCAATAGCATCTATAAATATGGGCATAACTCACGATCCAGCGCTGCCAGGAAGTCTCTTGTGCTGGACGCCGCGGCTGCCCTCAACAAAGGCACTGGGAGGCTTGTGGTAGACAGAGGCTAGAGTACCGATGTGGCAGATAAGCTCCTCCAGCAGGGTCGGCTCGATCAGGTCCGTCTCCTCAGAGATCAGGGGCTTCTCAGCCAAGACCACCTCTTTGGCAGCCACGGGGTCCGTGGAGAGCAGACGCCAATAGATGTAGCCTCGATCTCTGAGGTCAGGGTTATCAGAATCCTGTAGAGAGACACGGAGGAGTAATGATTATTATTCATAGAGTATATCTAATAAACGCTGAATCTTGTGCACTGAGCACAATCAAAGCTTCCACAAACTGAGGTGGCGGTAGCGGTGCCAGATTCAAACAATATGAGGAGAGTTTAAACAGTTTTGCTAGTGAATAAAAGAAACTATCCTGGGTTTCTACAATATAAAGTAAGATTAAAAGTACTTCAAGAACTTTTTTTGTCCTGTTTAGATGGTCCTTTCAGATATGCACCCCCCACCTTCTCACCTGTGTAGCCAGGCTTAGAACCTGCTGAACCAGTTCCTGTGTCTCTGTGGGTTTCTTCAGGAACAACTTGACGATAGCTGTCAGCAGCTGGAGCTGAACCTGAGGGTCGCCGTGAATACAAAAACACAGTTTGTATCATTTCTCCTAAAACTGGAAAGGTTTGGTTTTCCCACTAGAGCAGACAAAAAGTTTGATAAAATTTTCCCACATATCCATGATATGAAAAAACAAACATTTTTTTTATTAATTATTACAAATGACCATAACACTGTAATTATTCATATTTGCTCAATTACAAATCTGTTTGTTAAACCAAACCTGTTTTATTCTTTCTGCTCGAGTGTGATTCAAGTGGAAGCACAGATTTTTTAAGGGGCGACCATTAAAATAATGACTTATCAAAACAGAAAAGAACAAAAACAAACTTGACTCACCTGAGTGCTTTCATCATGGAAACCCTCCAAAAAGCTCTCCAGCAGCTCATCAGCATTGTCAATGCGCTCGGCGTATTCCCCCACAATCCAGATCATGGCTGCACGGGCCTCTGGCTCATCCAAGGAGTCAAGGTTCTCACACAGAGTGGCGATTACACTCTCATACCTGTGAACAATGGCACACAAATTGATATGGGACAAACAGGAAAAAAGATGATAATAACAGTAATAAAGATTATTAACCATAAAAATATGAATTTTGTCTTTTGGGGGTAAAATAAACAAGGGAATTTGAGCCGATAAAAGAACGACAACCCTATTTTATTTGAAATCTGCCTCCTTTCTTGTAGAAAATGCATTTTCAAGCATTACTTTGCGGCCATTTGGAAGCCTGGCAAATTTAAAATCAAATGTCTTATTTACACTCCTTGTAGCTATACTTCCATCTTTGGGCCTTTGATGCAAAATGCCCTCTGGAAAGGCTGTGGTGCTTCTGATCTACATAAAGTTCATGGTAATAACATGGTAATAACATTGTATAATGATTTCACATCAAAGAAAGCAGAGGCACAAAATAATTCTGCCATATTAATCGAGGGGGCCAAAGTTTAACTGGACAATGAGTCATTTAGCTCAAGGCGTGAGCCGGGCCGAGCTGAAAGCTTTGAAAAGCTGCTTGTGACTGCAGGATGATGGTGCTCTGCTGTGTGGGTGAGGTTTCTGTCTGGCACATGAATCCACTCCACAACACAAGTGATGCTTCAGCCAAATCAGGCTGACCCCTGACCAGGTGCAGCCGCAGCAGGGTGTGGAAAGAGCTGTCAACTACAAACAAACGTTCTTAAGGGAGAAAATGCTTCGGATGTCAGATTTTGTGGTGCTGGCTTTTATTTGGTCCATTTACTGAAGAGAGGGAAATAACTGAAGACTTTCTGTTTGGGCAAAATGCAGTGTGTCAAATACCTTTTAGATTTATAACTCTCTAACTTTCATAGACCTAAATCTTGTCAATGTGTGTCAGAGCCTACAAATGTATTATTATTATCATTATCATCATTATTAATAAATGTGATTTAAAAAAAAAGAGAAATAAAACCATTATCTTATGAAAAAATAAAATACCTTCACAGTAAATTCAGTCACAGCTAACAAAGTATTTTAAAAATGACTTATTTGCTATCTGGGTTTTAAACAATGTATTTAGATCATGAAGAGCAAACAAAAAATGTAAATGACCACACTGTGTGTGTGTGTGTGTGTCTGTGTGAACGGAACTTACTTGTTGGGGTACTTGCGAAAGATGTCCTTGATGACCACAATGGCCTCCTGCACCACATAATTGACCTTGGTCTGGATGAGATCCAGCAGTGTGCTGACACAGCGTTCTGCTGATTGCTAACAAGTGAAGAAGAAGAAAAAAAAGAGAAAAATGTGTTCACATACACAGAGCAGGTCAAAGCATTTAATATCCAAGTACACCACAGAATTGATTTACTATTTTTACTGAGCAGACATTGGTCATGATGGCCACCCTGTACTCCTGTATTGTCTAATCTAAATGTAACAGACAGCATGCGGGAGGGAATGACTAGTTTTAACTTAAAGTAGGGTAAACTAGTTTTTAATTTAGTTTATATTCAGGATTTTTAGGGGAAAAAAATATCTAAAATCAGGACTCCATGACCCAAATACATAGCCTGTCATGTTGAAAACAGGCCCATGACAACACTTGCACTTATTCTGAGCAAATCATGCCCCCTAGCTGCACGTCTGACGACTTCCTCCCTTTCATCATGGAAACTAAAGCCCTCATGTCAGAGTCTAGAGAACCGAGTTTTAAAAAATAAGGGATAATATTATTAATCATGCACCGTGTGCGTGTGACATTTCCCATCCAAACAGCTCGGCTTGCCTCAGACCAACTCTGCACTCTCTGCTATGTTAGAGCTTTTCATTTGAGCCGATTTGACATCCGTTATTTACAGTTTTCAGCGTCACAGCAGAAGCCGTTTCACAGTTCTGATCAGTTTAAGAACTTATTTATTCATTTCATGTAACTCTAATTATTCGTGCCTAGTATAATCCTGAATTATGATTTTTTTTCTCTATGACGTGACAAACTAAGGACAGAGATATATTTCTGCTTAGCTGATGATCAGCAGGTTTTACTGGACATACAGTTGAGCCTAAAATGGAAACCACTGTTCTGTTGGTAACCTCATAAATGGCAGCCACTCATGGCTCTCTGTGTTGGGTTTTATGTGCAAGCAAACACAAACAGTGTTTGAACCTGAGCTCCACCCACCTCCACTTTGATGGCACAGCGGCCAATGGCCCTCACTGCTTTCCTCACAAAGTCCACATCCACCTCAGTGGCATATTCCTTCAGCTCAGCCAGCACCTACAAGGAAGGACACAGAGGGCCTCGTTACCAACAACGCCTCTGCTGCAGGAGCTTCCTAAGACCACAAGCTTTCCCAGATGTGGGTGCGTTACCTGGGCAATGTTGGCTTGAGATGCGAGGCGAATCATAATGTCCAGTTTCTCCAGCTTGACGTAGATCGGGTCGTTGTATTTTACAAAGAACACCTTCATTTCATGTTTCATGATCTCCGGGCTGAAAGCAGCATTTACAAACAGCATTCATCAAGGCCTGCACTTTCAAAAGCATAAAGAGGGCCACAGGAGTCCTCCCCCCGGCTTACCGTCTCTGAACGATGAGGTTTATGTTTCTGAGCGCCACGTACTGCAGCTCCGGCTCAGCCGAGAGGAGGGTGACCAGCGGCGGGGCGAGCTTCTTCAGCAGCGTGCCATAGTAGTCCAAATCTTTGGGCAGCATCTCCATGAACTTCATTAACACTTTAACGGCCGATAGCACCACCGCAGAGTTGGCGTGGGAGAGCCGAGGGGTGACGCGCTCACAGATGCTGGATAACGTTAATTACATTCGGAAAGAGAGATAGGAAAATGAAGTAAGTCCTTAGGCAACACAATCCTTCTGACAGAGAGGAGGAGAGAGTGCTGCTGTGCCGTTGCTTACCTTTGAGACTCCCGGTCGTCACGGGGGGTGTAATTAGCCAGACAGTCGAGGATAAATATCTGTCCCCACTCTGTGCATTCATTGAGAGCCGTCAGCAACTTGTTTATGGTCTGAGGGTTTAGGTCCAGCAGATTACTGTTGGGATGAGACTCTGCTATCTCAGAAAGAGCAGCGACCGCGTTAGCTACAACCTAAAGATGAAGACATGGGGAATAAACAGCTTACACAATGTGTTGATGGAAAGATGACACACTACAGAACTCATCAGTAACTGGTCAGCTGAGGTTTGTAGCAGTGATCGGAAGATTTAAGATTCTTGAAGGAATCATACCATGGGGTTGGAGTCCGAGATGAGATCTTTAAGGGTGTCCAGGAAGCCTTGGTCCTCCACCAACTGAGCGTTGATGTCATGGAGCTTTGCAACACACACAGCCGCGGTCTTCCTCACGTAGGGGTCTTCGTCCTTCAGACATTTTCTAAGAGGCTCGCAGAGGTACTCTGTGATCTTGTCCACACGAATGCAGCCCATTGTGCGAACAGCCAGGGCCCGAATCAGAGGGTTGGGGTCTTCACAGTCCTGGATGAGAGGTGGACAAATTTCAAATTCTGATGTCTGAATCAAATCGAGAAGCAACCAAAATATGCCAGCACCAACACACTTCAGAGGACATAGTCACACATGAGCTTTCAATACAAAGGTTTGGGATTTTACTATATAAAGTCAGATAAATGAATGAGGGAAAAACACAACAGCACAAAGAAACGGGTTTAAATTACTGCCAACAATACTTCTCGACAATCGTTAAGGTTGACTCACGATACATTAAAAATAGTCCAATGGTAAAAGTCTGAATAACACTCGCTTATGAAAAATCAAACTGCTCATTTCAAATGGGAAAACTGTCATTACACATCGAGTCTTACCTTCACAAAGGTGTTAACAGCCATGATGGCCATGTCAGGCTGACTCTTGGCGTAGTTCATCAGGTAGAGGTAGACCAGCTTTTTCAGTTCCAGGTTGTCTGTCTGCATGCAGTTGACCACATCTGGGAACAGAGCGCTGCAGGGGGAACAGGCCCTCGGTTTACCACTGGACTTCGTACCAGCTTTAACATTACTGTGTGAGATATTCTGACATCATATCCCATTGCTCACCTGACATCTTTGCCCACCGTCATCGATGCAATGACCTTCTTAACAGCCTCCTTCTTTTTCTCTTTCTTATCGCTGTTCAGCTCTGCCTTGAGCTCGAAGATCTCCCCTGAACATGACACAAAAAAAAAACCTTCATGTAATCCATTCCAGGATGAAGCAGCTCTGTGTGATAGCTCCCACACTGCAAACTGGACACCAGGCTGACAGAGTGACACAGTGATATGGCAGAAACCCTCATAAAGAGCGAGTTGGCTGCTGGATGTGGTTGTCAGTGAGATGATGGAAGGGAGGCCCCTCTGCTCCTCATACACTCTAAATGTCTGACAGTTCTTCAATAGCTGGAACACTCGGCTGACATGTTAGTACATGTACCAAACCAAGACTATAATCCTGATAAGCACGCCAAAAAATAAATAAAAATCTGTATTTTTAAAGGCTTAAATGGTTAACTGCCTGTAAAGGGGCAGTGAAAGAACACCATGCTTCCTCGGAGGCTGCGCAGACCTGTTACACCGACAGGTGTCTGCATCAGTCCATTAATAACTGATCAGAACGTCAAATCAAATATTTAACACTGTCTGGACTGCTGGAGAGCAGGAAGGGGAGAAAATTTGGAGCAATTTTTGACACACCTGTAAAAACATCTAATGCTGAGGTAAGAAATCAATGTTAACCAGACTGTTTGGCCATTTAAATGGGAACAGGTTGTGCATATAAGCAAGTACAACGTTTATGACGACTGGGACGCCGACCTTTTGCAGGAGTTTGGACTCAAAGAATGATGCATAAGCATTT